TATAAAATAATTTATAAAGGTCAAATCATTTTCAAGTGAACACTTAGGAAGCTACCTGGCCTTGCTTCCATGCTTTAAGTAAAGGGACCACCCAGTATGTTACTAATTGGGTCCTTCTCTTTCTGTTGTGCTATGATTGAAAAGTTAAATTATCCTAGTTAATGGAGAAGGAATGGAAGTTGGGACCAGAGATCAGAGAGAAAGTCTGATTATGCTTTTGTTACATCAGAAAATAGTACCCAAAACGTAGGATTTGTGTTCCATTTGTTCTGGGTGTGGTAGATACTGCATCGCAAAAATAATGGTACGTTGTGTCTGCCCTTTGATGCCAATTTCTTGGTTACGCACTGCAAGCATGTTGTTAATCCAGATTAATGTGCACTGAATTCAGTAGAAATTCTGTCTGGATGCTTGCAAATGACCAAATGACTGACTATAATCCTTTTGATACTTGTTTTGAAACAGAAAATCTATTTCCAATACAATTAATCTCTTGCATCTTTTGCTTCTGTATGCGTTTTTAGTATTTGTAAAACATGAGAGGGGAGGGGGATAAAAGCAGCCACCGCCATATGGGAAGCTGGTATCCAATGCTACTTGCAGCATCCATTGTGCCAATATGGAAGATAAAACTAATAAAAGAAAAACATAGTTTGAGGATAAAAGAAGCATATTGGACATCCAACCAATAATCCATCCAAATGTATGCAGCAAAGAGAGCATAAATCATGGGTCTACAATGGGGGAAAACTCACTTTCTGTAGAAAAACCTGCCAGTGAGATCACACGCTAAGACTTCAGACTTTGAAGTCTGATAAAAATTTAATAAAATTTTAGAATTAGACTTTGGTGTTATTCAAAAACAACTTGAATCCGTTAAGAAAAGGAAAATTACCTCTTAGACATAATTCTAAATATCAGGTTAAAAATCTCCAAGCTATGCTTCTAAAATACATTTTAATTAAGCCACTAATTATATACTTGTGTTTCCTCTTGCATATTTTTCATTTTGGCACATAGAAACAGAAGACAACAGAAATCGATTTCAGAAATAGTTTAGTCACCATGGAACTTTATGGTGGCCACTATGAAAAATTATTTCCCATAGTGCTTTTCATAAATTCCACATTTCAGTGGAAATAGCTGAAGGTAGAGTATACATAACACAATGGCTTGATGGAAGTAGTCAAGAGAACAAGAAATGAATTTGAGTTTAACATGTATAGAAACTTAGAAGACACCAGATACTAAATTCAATGTCGATGTGTTGTTGTTTGTTTTATTTGAGAAAGAATTCTTCTCAGAAGATGTCTTACAGAGAATTCTAATGTATGAAGGAAAGGAGAGCAGGGCTGCTCTGATTGGAGCAGGTATGAGGACCCTCTGCTATCCATCTTTCATATGGCCCTTCTGTATCTCTCCCGGCACCAACTCCCGGGAGGCCTCTGGCTTACTGGAATCCTGCAAAAAGTCTTGATTTAGTTCAAATTCTTGACCTAGCAAATGCACCTAGGCATACAGTTAATTAATGGATAGACTGGGCCCAGAATGCAGTTCTTCTGATTCCTATTTTCTACTGCACAGAGTTGCCTATTTTCAGTTCCTGAAATTTGGTCCAGCTATAAAAATCTCTTCCCTTTACGGAGTGAACAATTCTTTGATATCCAAATTAACAGAGGCCAGAGAGTGCAACCATATGAAATATATTCGTGATCTATATACCTTCTAATTACAGGCTAATTTTCAGAAGTAGACTCTGGTTTTCTGTTGTCTTTTCTGTTGTAATTATGAGCTTAGAGATAGGAACTTCTGAAAAATTCCTTCAATAGACTAAGTTAAAAATATTTAGTCATAAAAAGAGTGATCAGTTGGGGCGCCTAGGTGGCTTAGTCGGTTAAGTGTCCGACTTTCGCTTAGGTCATGATCTCGCGGTTCGCGGGTTCGAGCCCTGCGTCGGGCTCTGTGCTGACTGCCAGCTCAGAGCCTGGAGCCTGTTTCAGTCTGTGACTCCCTCTCTCTCTGACCCTCCCCTGCTCAAGCTGTCTCTCTCTCTCTCTCTCTCTCTCTCTTTCTCTCTCTCCTAGAAATAAATTAAAAAAAAAAAAAGTGACCAGTTTACAGCACCAACTAGTGGGTGTTGCTGTATCCCCTGACACCCCCACCCCCACCTGGGCCAGCTGTTAGCTCTCTCCTTCAGTGCTTCTCTGTTCTTTAACATAAGTAGCTACCTCTGAAGCACAAGGATCCCCCAGGCTGCAGGATATTCCCCTGAACTTAGAGATTCCGTGTCAGATGAAACTTCAGTTGCTTCTTCTCAAACTTAGAAGCACATACTCTTCCTAAGGAAAAAAATCTCCTAAGTCTCTCACACCCTAGTTGCTTCTAGGCACCCCACCTGGTATGAAGAGTCTGTCTTTTGCATATTCCCTCCAGCCAAGAAGTCTGTCCTGAGCTTTACTTCCTGAGCCAGCTTTTGAAAAGATGGGCATTTTCGGGGCACCTCAGTAGCTCAGTCAGTTGAGCATCCAACTCTTGATTTCAGCTCAGGTCACGATCTCATGGTTCATGAGTTTGAGCCGTGTCAGGTTCTGCAAGGACAGCGTGGAGTCTGCTTGGCATTGTTTCTCTGTCTCTCTGCCCCATCCCTCCTTGCACTCTGTCTCAAAATAAACCTAAAAAAATAAAAAATAGGCATTTTTATATGAATTTGGAAAATAGTATTTAATATGCTTTTACAGATCATACCCCCAATTCCAATGTGTGTTTCCTGAGGAGGGTGTGGGCATGTGAAGTGTTGTGACATCTGGTTCATAGTCATTGAAGCAGATACCCACCTTTTGCTTAATTTTTCTCTTGCTTTTTAAAATGTCTAATTCTGACTAAACTTGTCAAGGTTTATTATCTAAAATACATAAATTTAAAATTCCCTGTGCGCATTCACTGTGAAATCTGACATATCAAGTTTACTGGTAAGATGTGTGCTCTGGTCTTGATAACATGTTTTCACAATTGTTTGACCTTTTTTCCCCTCTTACTTTCTACCCATTCACAAACACCTACTTTTAATCATTACTACAACACTTTTCATCCTGTAATAGAATCTCATTATGTGCTACTTATTAAGCGGCCTTGACTAATGTGATTCACTTTGTGCAGTCAGAAGATTGTGCCAGCAAAGTATGATTTTCTTATAAAGACTGTTGGGAAGGGATCTACCAAGGGTAGCAAGGTAATAAAAAGTGACATATTGGTGTCATTTCTGAGATGGTATTTTTCTAAAATCACTTAGCCATCCTATGTGTAAAGAGATGCAGATTTTGTTTCAAACTTGAGTGTGCAAGAAAGGTCTTGTATTTTCTGTAAATCAAATCAAGCTCATTTCAAATCCCATCCTGTCTTATCTGTGGGAGGTTAATTCTGTCATCCCTGGGATTGTCTGCTGCCTTGCAGAAGGACCACAGAAAGGGTTTCATGCAGACAGAACATTCAGGAAAGGCTTCTCTGGCTTCCAGTTCATTCCAGTTGCCAGGACTACTGTCCGAGCCACCATGGTCCTCTGTAGCAGGATGCCTTGTGGCACTTCTGGGGGCAGGAGTCTTGCTGGTCCTGGGAGTCCCTGGGACCCCACTTCTCTGGGTGCTCAAGCTGTCCCCCTCTCAGGCGTAGCCATCCTGCAGAGGCACCGCTGGGGAGAAAGGCACAGGTCTCCATCTCTTGGGAAACCCACAGCCTTTGGTCCCTTTCAAAAGCCTTGGATAATCTCTCCCTCTTGACTCTTGCCAGTTCTGCTTCTCTTTTACTTGCTGAAGGCCTAGTGTTGATCTTTGTCCTCAACTCATAGCATCATATGCCTTCTTTAAAGAAGTTGTCTCTAGGACCCTAGCACCAAAAGCTTCCCTGAGCTTACGGGACACAAAAGCTTTTTTGCCTTCCTTTAGCCAGGAGTAGGGAAATAAAAAGGGAGCAAAATTCAAGTGACTATCACAATAGATTCTCCTGTATAATATTCGACGTGTTTAATGCTTAACATGATGATGACATTAGAATAATAGGAAGGTTCTTTACTCCTTTAAGTGTGTTTGGAATGTTCTAAAAAATATCTCGGTCATTCCCTGATTTTGCATTGTGTTGTGTATGGTAGATATCAATATTACTGTTATCCACAGAGTTAGCCTTTGAAAGGAACAATGCCCGTCCCGCTTCATTTCCTTTTCTCAATTCTTTGCAGCAGAGAAAGGCCTGAAGTCTTTGTCCATGCCATGAAAAGTAGCAGTGGAGATTGGTTTTATAGACAGAAATGGTGGTTTCTAATGCGTATTCCTAGGGGATGTGAAATTGTCCAAGGCAGACAAGATGCAGGAGGGAAAGTGAGACCGAGCATGCAGGGCCCCAGGGACCTCCATGCCCATTTCATTCATACTAGTTGTGCTTTTTCACTTACTTCAGGTATTGAATTCCATGTAAAATTTTGTTTTAATGAAGGATTCCATTGGTACAAAAATTAGGAGATCATTGAAGGACATACGTGTGTATATACCTATAACATTTGAAGTTCCCCGGTATTTTGAGTTCAAGATCTTCTTTTTTCAATAGTATAATTCTATGGCATAGAAATGAACCTTCCCCTTAAAATATCCTGTTGCTTAATTACAATTGACATGTGAAAACCCCTAAAGAATAGATTAAGTTGAGGGGACAGTATGATTTACTTGGACTCTCAGTTCCTCTTCTGGTTAATAGGACATCCACTCTACATAGTGTTTGACATAAATCTTGCTCCTTGTAGTAGTGAAATTGTGGGTTCTTAACAGTTACCATCACTCACCTGCTCCCTACACAGAACAGTAAAGTTCATAGATGGCATGAAGTTACTCCAACCCAAATACTGAATCATGTCTCAACCATAATTTTAAAAATTCTTTATTGATATTATGGTTATACTGATCATCATAAACATTTATATCTAACTACTGGTTCTTTTTGTTAAACAAATTACTCAAATTTAATCAACTATTATTCAGAAGGTTTTTAGAATTCAATTCAGACAATGCTTAATTTTTAAATGGTTAGCTTTATTTTATACCTAGCCCAATAACATTTGTTATAATCATTAAAGATTCCACGAGACCAGTTTAAATATTCATACTAAATATTTTGTAATGACATTTACTTTACAATGCTAAGTTTTTGCTTCTTAAAAACATAGTCAAGTAAAACTATTTCAGTGTCAGAGCTTTTTAGTAACATATATTCTGTTGTAGCTTTCAGAATAAAGTTTATACGGTGTTTGTTGTGTAATATAAGCATTAAAAATTTTCTGTTAATATCGAATACTAAAATTGGAGTAGTCAAGTTTAGAGATGGTTTTTTCATTAGAAAAGTTTGTGCGGTCAATGCGAGAACTAGGACTTCCAACCTTGCTCAGCCAGGACATCCTACAAAAAATAAACAAATACATAAAAATTAGCATACAAAGCATATGTGGACTAGCTAAAGTGATCCCACCACAGGTTACAATGGTTTACTTTTACTAGGTAGCTTTTGCATCTAATGTGAAATACAATTTTTATTTACCTTGTATACATCATGTATCAGAGTACCAGAAAGTTTAACACATAATTAAATATGAACAAAGAAAAGCTTAGAGCAAATTAAGCCCAGTAAACTCCTGATGATTTCATATTGGGGTTATTGTCCCCCTCTTAAAGCATTCAAAGCCATTAAAACCGAGCTCTTATATGTAAAAGGACAATATTTTTACAAAGAGGTAAATAATTAAAACAGTTCACCATTGTTTTTTCTCCTTACTCAGCACATAGTAGGTGTGTACTTATATGTATATATATGTGTGTGTGTGTGTATACATACACACACACACATATATACTGTGCAGACAAAGAAAAAAATGAAAAAAATGTGAAGAATGTGATTTTCTACAAACATTTTAGATGAGGAATGCTTGGTTGGCTCAGTCAATAGAGTATGCAACTCTTGATCTCAGGGTTGTAAGTTCTCAGCCCCACTTTGGGTATAGAGATTACTTAAAAAAATAAAATTTTTAAAATTTAATGTTTATTTTTGAAAGAGAGACAGAGCATGAGCAGGGGAAGCACAGAGAGGAGACAGAATCCAAAGCAGGCTCCAGGCTTTGAGCTGTCAGCACAAAGCCTGACATGGGGCTTCTCCTCTGTTACCTTATTCCTCTATTACTGAAACTAATCTTAATCAGTCTAAGGAAGACTGATGCCAATGATTCAAATTGCCTTTGGATTACTTAACCTTTCCTTTGGTTCTTGTGACAGTTTTACTAGGTAAGGTGAATTTTCATGTTTCTCCTGTTCCAGGAGCTAAGCCCAGTAACACATCTTATTTTCTTCAATTCATTTAGTTAAAATCTTAAAAGCTGAAATTGCACGTGTTCAAGAATAAAAGTCAGTTATTAAGAAAAAGAGCCAGTGGGTTCAATTTTACTCCTCTTAGCTACTTGAAATCTTCTAGAAAACAAAGGTCAGAAATAATAAAAGCTTATTAAGTATATTAAGCACTACTTGCTCTGCATTGTGCTAAGTTCTTTACATGGACTCTTTCCTTTGATCCACACACTAACCCTATAAATTATAGTCCATCATTACTCCCAAGTTACTGATGAGGAAAGAGAAAAGAGTTAAGTAATTTGCCCAGGGTAGTAGCAGTGGTGGTTATGACAAAGGACCATATTCTGGATATGATTTGCTGACAACTGGACATGATGTGAGGGAGAGAGTATTCAAGGATGACCTCAGTTAGTAGTGAAAAACTACTTGGTAATGGCTGTAATTCATTGCAATGGAGAGACAGTGTGAAGAGCAGACCGAGGGGATGATTAAAACTTCAGTTTTGAAGAGCCAAATTATGGAAAGAGCCCACATGTCCATCGACAGGATGGACAGATGGATAAAGATGTGGTATATAAACACAATAGAATATTACTCAGGCATGAAAAAGAACCAAATCTTGCCATTTTCAGTGACATGGATGGAACTAGAGAGCATAATGCTAAGTGAAATAAGTCAGTTGGAGAAAGACCGATACCATATAATTTCATTCATGCAGAATTTAAGAAACAAAACTGATGAACAGAGGAGAATAGAGAATAAACAGGTTGATGGAGGGAGGTGGGTGGGGGGTGGGCTAAATCGATAATGGGTATTCAAGACGGCACTTGTGTTGAGCACTGACTGTTAGAATTTAGTGATTCGTCACTTATATATATTTCTGAAACCAATAATACACTATATGTTAACTAACTAGCATTTAATAAAAACTTTAAAAATATTTCCTAAAAAAAAAAAGTCCAGCTTTGGAATATTGACTTTGAGATATCTATTTAGACATCTACATGAGATGTTGAGCAGGCAGCTGGTTCTTGGAGTCTGGGTGGACAAGATAATGTTGGAATTTGTCTACAGGTAGTCAGTACTGAAAGCCATAAAACTGGGTGGCATCACCAAGAAAAAGAATATAGGAAAGGGAAGAGGTCCCGGGACTGTGCCTTAGGACACCTCAAAGTTAAGAGTTCAGGAAACCGAGGAAAAGCCAGCAAAGAGGAGAAGAAAGCGTCTAGGGGATAGAAGCAAAACTGAAAGGGCATCCTGTCCCAGGAAACCCTCCAGGAGCAGAAATGGATGAACTGGGTCCCTGCTGCTGGCAGGTCAAATAAGGTGAGGACTGAGTATTGACCACTGCATTTGGCAACATGTTGGTCACTGATGACGTTGATAAGAACAGTTTTGGTAGAGTGAAAGCTGTATTTCAATGGGCTCAAGAGGGAATGAGTGGAGAACAGTTAGAACCAGTGAATCGAGGACAAGCACTCGTGGGCCTATGAGTTGCAATAACTAATCCACCTAGGATTATAACTCAATGTATTTAGCTAGTTGAGAGCCTGGCTACCTACTTGTAACTGATCTTCAACACCATTAAGAAGTTCACCAGCCAGAAGTAGGGCCAAGGAGAAATATATGCCACTGGTAGGGGCAGAATGGTCATGCCATTTGTACCAGATGCAGCGGGACCACTGTGTGCCATGGCTCCATGCATGCCACTCCTACTGCTAGGAGCCATCTTGCCTGACCTGCCTACTTACTGAAGAGTGTTGTGGTCACCTGTCACTTGGCAAGCCCTGACTTCCCTCGTGTGATGTTCCTGCAGTCAGCCCTTTATAGATGTGGTTCAGATCTGGAGGTAACAGAACTGAGAGTTCTCCTAGCTAAAGTGTTTTAATTTCACATCTTTGTTTCAAGATGTGTTAGTTAAAAACCACATAATCAAACAGTATCAGTTAATTCATTTCAATTCATTAAATATTTACGTAGCATTGTAGGCAAGGGGTATCCTTGATATTGGAATGTATGTACAGATACCTAAAATAAAGTTTCTTTCCTATCCAAAATATATAGAGAACTTACAAAACTCAACACCCAAAAAATGAATAATCCAATGAAAAAATGGGCAGAAGATATGAAGAGACATTTTTCCAAAGAAGACCTACAGATGGACAATGGACACATGAAAAGATGCTCAACATCACTCATCATCTGGGAAATTCAAATCAAAACTACAATGAGATACCATCTCACACCTGTCAGAATGGTCAAAATGAGTAACACAAGACACAACAGGTGTTAGCAAGGATGTGGAGAAAGGGGAACCCCTCTTACATTGTTGGTGGGAATGCAAACCAGTGCAGCCAGTCTGGCAAACAGTATGGAAGTTCCTCAGAAAGTTAAAAATAGAACTACCCTATGATCCAATGGTTGCACTACTATTTATCCAAAGGATACAAAAATACTAATTTGAAGGATACATGCTCCCCAACGTTCATAGCAGCATTATCCACAATGGCCAAATTACAGGAACAGCCCAAGTGTCCATCAATTGATGAATGGATAAGGAAGTGGTGGTATATGTACAATGGAATGTTACTCAGCCACACAAAAGAACAAAACCTTGCCATCTGCAACAATGTGGATGGAGCCAGAGAGTATTATGCTAAGCAAAGTAAGTCAGAGAAAGACAAATACCATCTGGTTTCACTCCTATACAGCATTTAAGAAATGGAATAAACAAGCAAAGGGGAAAAAAGAGAGGCAAACCAAGAAACCATAGAGAACAAACTGAGGGTTGCTAGATGGGAGGTGGGGGCATGGGTGAAATAGGGGATGGGGATTAAGAAGGGCACTTGTGATGAGTACCAGGTGTTGGATTTCAGTGTTGAATCACCAAATTATATAACTGAAACTAATATTACACTGTATGTTAACCAATGGAATTTAAATAAAAACTTAAACACCGAATCTGTGAAACTGTCAGCCAAGAGAAGCCAAAGGACACATGATGATGAATTCAGTATCCTGGAAGGTATCCTGGACCAGGAAAAGGCCATTAGTGGAAAAACTGGTGACAGATGAATTAAGTATAGAGTTTGGTTGAAAATAAAGAAATAAAATGAAGTTTCTTCCCTGAGTAACTCACAGTCTAACAGAAGAGTTTGGAGAATAATACAACTTACTATAAAATACTTCATAATGTGATGCGCAATGTGATTTTTAATATAAGGGCAGAGGAAATGGATGGAGTTAATTTCTGGTCAAGGTACTCAGGGACATCCTTGTGATAGCAATGGCACTGCAGCTAAGTTTTAAAATGGTATTGAAAATTTCACATCTTACGATAGGGAATGCCTGCTTAAGCTTGACAGGAAACCAAGAAACCTAGGGAAAAAATGGATAATGTTAACCAATTAAAAAATGTAAAATTTGTGAATGGTCAACAAACGTCTTAAGCAAAACCATAACAAAGAGCAAACTGGAAAACTTATTTTCAGTGTTCTTACTATACAAAGCGCACTCAAAAACTAATACATAAAAGATAGCCATTCCACAGAAAAATGGACAAAGAACATAAACAGATGAGAAAGAAATATAAATGGACAGTAAATATGTGAAAATATTCTCTTACTCATAATTTTAAAAATACAAATCAAACAAGAACAAGATACCATCTGTTACTTAGGAAATGGCAAAGATTTGAAAATTTGATATCTAGTAGTGACCATTAAGATGTGGGAAAAGAGGCACTTTTCTAGATTGATGGGAATACAACTTTGTACAGCTTTTTAGAAGGGCAACTTGGGGGGCACCTGGCTGGCTCGGTCAGTTAAGCATCCGACTTCGGCTCAGATCATGATCTCACAGTTCGTGGGTTTGAGCCCCAGGTCAGGCGCTGTGCTGACAGCTAGCTCAGAGCCTGGAGCCTGTTTCGGATTCTGTGTCACCCTCTCTCTCCTCCCCTGCTCATGCTGTCTCTCTCTCTCTCTCAAAAACATTTTAAATTTTTTTTAAAAATTAAAAGAAGGGCAACTTCATATTACCTACCAAATTTTAAATGTCCATGA